GGATTTATAGACATCTTCCCTCCAGTGGCATAAAAAGGTAGGTTTAAGCCCATGTAAAGGTTGATGATGAGGCAAGCAGAAACTTTGATGATATGGGATGTTTTGTGCAGAAATAATTATTGATGGTTTGAGATTGTGTGACAGTTGGTTTCAAATGTCAACCTGCCACAAATTAAAATAATCTGAGCAGGGAGCCTCAATGGATTAATTGTCTTAATTGTCTTAATTGACATGGGAAGACCAACTGAAAATGTGGGTGGCCCTTTCTTTTTATCTGGTAGTAACCCAGATAAAAAGGGGGGCAGGGATCATGAGTGAAGGAAGATTATTCTTTGCTCACTCGGCCTTTACTCTGAGTTAATTTACCCTGTTGCTCCTGCTGCTGTTGCTGCCACTGAGTCCTTCACTTATGTTAGAAAATGCTTTCAGGGCTTCTGAATTATACAAAGGACCAAGGGTTCTTCAGGAATCCACTAAGCCTTTGGCACCAGATTGGGAATGCCAAGGCACCCAGCCTTTCAGATAGAATAACTACCAACTTCTAGATTTCACTAGTATTAGTCATTGCTGGATGACTCTAAGGGCTGAGATCTCCAAGGACTGAAAATAAGTTCGGTCTCAGCCTTTCAGGAGGTAGTCAGAGTCAGATAGCTAGCCAGGAAGCAGCATTCCTCCATGGTTTATACCTTGAGTTCATGCCCTGACTTCTCTTAGTGATGGATTGTGATATGAAAGCATATGCCAAACAAACCCTTTCCTATGCAAATTGCTTTAGCTCCCAGTTTCTTATCACAGAAACAGATTGAAACTAGGACAGGGGTACTCTCAGAAGTGGTGCAATTTAAAGGAAGAAAACTATTACCAATAATGAGACAGTACTCATGTGAAATAAACTTCTCTTCTCCTAAAATGTTCACATCTACATTTTCCTTATTTGGCCCACCATGTCCTATGATAGTCTGACCTTTACTACCATCTGTTACACTAAACTCAATGAAATGTTATGGAATGATAACACATGTTACACAAAAGGCTCAACTGATTCCTATGGATTTTTAGGTAATATAAACTTGGAATCTGAGTTTCTCTAGGATGAACAAGGCATGATGAATATCCTTCATACTTTGGTCATGAATGATTAATTTGGCAATTCAGCAAAATACTTTAAAAAGTTGGAGTGTGTTCCTGGGGGGTGGATGAGGGTGGAATGTGGGGTTGGTGAGGGGCATGGGAGGATGGGACACAGAGGGAACTGGGATTGGTATGTAAAATAGGATTGTTTGTAATTTATATAAAAATTTATTTAAAAATAAAATAAAACAGTTACAAAAATAGTTGAAGTGTGATAAAGACAAATAAGGGAAGTCATGGTGACTAACTTTGATAGGCAACCTGGCATAACCTAGAGCCACCCATCTGGGAAGAGTCTTGATGACGATTACATATGTTGGCTTAACCTGTGGATATGTATGTTGGTTATTGCTTTAATTGAATTGGTATGCAGAGACACAGTCAAGTATTGGCAGCTCTAGTATATGGTAAGGAGATCCTGAACTGTGTAAGTTTAGAGCAATCTCAGCACAAGCAAACAAACAAGTAAACATGTGTGCATTCGTTTCTCTGTGGAAGTTATGTTACTAACTGTCTGAATATCCTGCCTTGACTTCCCTCTTATGGTAGACTGTAACCTGGAATTTGAAGCTTAAATAAACCCTTTATCCTCTAAGCTGATTTTTGTGAGGGTGTTTATCACAGCCAAAGAAAGGAAACTAGACCAGAAATCAATATCAAACAAAGAATCTGAAGAGAAATGAATAAATATGGTTTTGACTTGTTTTCATCAACCAAAGCTATATCTTGCATCAATGGTTAGAAATTTGCTTCCCATTGAAAATACTTGACTTTTCCTTGTGTGTCTCAAACATTGGATTCATGAGTATTTACTTATGGACTTCTAATCCACTACTGCTTCTTTTAGGCTTTTGCCATTTGGAAAGCATATATACAAAGTATTGGGAATTGTGGTTTTGTTTGTAATGAAAACAATGGATTAGATATTTCTCTTTGTGATTAATTTTTCAGCACCTTTTAGAAATCAACAACTATAGCCTGCTTCACTTCCAACTTGAATCAAGTCCTCTGCTGGGAATATATTAATACTAATAAATTCTTGGCAACTAAATAATTGAATCTAATGCCTCAAAAAATGTAAGCACTGACCTTCAAATTCTAGCATAATTTTGAGAACACAATTTGTAAAGTTATGATTACTGTTCTTTATCTTGCTCCTAGTTAATGTTATTTCTTAGTTGATTATATGTCCACATGATTCCTTAAAATGGAGCCCTATTAAGGCAAGGACCACATCTTATGCATTTCTGCATCTTTTATGTCCAAGATATTGTCTGGCTCATTGAAAACCCTTTTAGGAAAATTTTAGACTTCTGAAGTTCAAATTTGCCAATAACTTGTATTTCTTTAATGTGGCATCTTCAGTTGTCCTTCACCAAGGACTTTTCCCCTCAGATTTTAGAGACTATCCACAACCTGCCAATGGACAAATTCCTCAGAATCTAAGCAATGAGTAATGTGTCACATATCAGAACCAGAGATAAAGCAATTGCCTCTGGATCTATGCCAGGGTAACATATATCCTTCACTGATATAGAACGGAGAAACCTTCACAGTACAAAACGAAATGATGACAACCTGATTTTATTTCAGCAGTATACAATGCTAGCTAGGTATTTACTAGTACAAACACCACCCAAGGCCCAAAGGACTAGCCGAAGCAGCTGATACACTGTGTTTCTTTTTATAACTCTCCTTTCCAGCATCATGCTCTACATATGTCCCATTCTATCAGGTCACATCAACTTAGGTCATGCCCAACACTGCATCTTACACAAGACAAATGGATTATCATGCAGGATATTGTTTCCTTAACAATGCATTGGGCATCCAGGGAATTTCTCTAACTCTTTCTGAAACAGCAGTACTGCCACATTTCCCCAATGAGCAGCCTCCTCCATTCCATAAGACACTAGACAGTAAACCAAAAGCAAGCTCCGGATTTACTAGGTAAAAGAATGGAATGTGCAGTAAAGAACCAAATTACACAATGATTTCTTTTCTTTCTTTCTTTTTTCTGAGACAGGATTTCTCTGTGTAGTCATGGCTGTCCTGGAACTCACTCTGTAGACCAGGCTGGCACTGAACTCACAAAGATCCTCCTGCCTTTGCCCCCAAGTACTGGGATCAAAGGTATGCTCTGCTACCACCTGGCAATAATAGGTTCTTTTCTTGCATACAGAATTATTTTATTTAACTTAACCCATGTGGTACTTTAACTACTAGAAAAAGTAGAGTAATAGAAAATGGCCTTAGCTTCAGCCATTCAAAATAGACAAAGTTTCTTTTTCATAATGTAAAGAATCCCGAGAATGTCGAAGTAACAGGAATAATTTCTTACAACATAATGTACAAAAACATTGAATTTTTTCATCTATTGATTTTTAAATATAAATAGATGTTTTTAAAGGAATAATTTATACACAGAAAGTTATTTTATGTAACAAATTGACCATATTGTTATCTCTTTTAGACTCTTCTTTTTAAGAAAAAGACTTTTTTTTCTTAAATGGTGGTGAGTCTGCAAACCTGTGTTTACAAGAACACTTATTTAGCAAACATCATCTCCATGGCAAAGTGTTTTATATTGTTTCTATGAAAGGCTGGCCAACTGTAGCCAAAGAATGGGGTCTAGTGTAGCAGCATTTCCATGCATTATTAAATTATTGTTTGCATTTTTCTATAGTTGATTTTGAACTAAATGACACACATAATTGTCATTTAGCCTGCACAATTGAAATGAGTGCAATCTGTCCCTTTAAATAAAATATTTTCTCGTGTCTACATCTTTAATTTTCACAAGAATATTTTTACAGATGGATATGCTGATCCATGTCTGACAATGAAAGTAATTGGATTTTGTAGATCCTGGAACTTGGTAAGTGTCAAAGCTTGAGTTTGGCTCTACATCTATATGATTAAAAAACAATCAATGCTATGATTCGAAAAAATCCATGTCCTTATAAATCACTCATGTATGGTAGTAACTAAAATACAAGGCAGGAAAAAATACGAACCTCACGGAGCCACAGAGAAATGAATATTAGTATTAAGAATAACAGGAAAGTTTTCTGAGTCTGGAGCGACACGGATTCTGGAGGACATATTTGAATGTAGTATTTTGAAATGAGCGCCTAAGAATGCAGCTCAGTTGATATTTGTTTAGCATGGATGAGACCTGGCTTCATTCTCTGGTCCCACACACACAAAGATTGGTAGCTCATGCCTGTAACCTCAGCACCCAGGAATTAGAGGCTGTAAGCTCAAAAGTTCAGGGTCATATTCTGCTACACATGGATTTGTGAACCAATCTGGGTCAGAGATTCTGTTTCAGAACACAAGCAATATCAGAAAATTTCTGTTCCAAATTAAAGCCTAATAAAAATTAAGACATCAAGGTCTCAAGGTCATATGTTTATTGAGAAGCACAAATGAGGTTAGGATAAAGTATATACATATTCAACCAGAGTATGCTGTTGATGACCAAGTTGATCCATTGAATATTTTGTGTATGGTTAATAAAAGAACTATGGAAAGTGAAACTCACATACTATGATTCAAGGTAATTAGTTTGAATATCCTATAATTTCTTTACTGAATATATTTGCTTAGATGTTTATATAATACCATCAACTGTTCATAAACCCACTGGATACATTTTGTATAAACCCACTGGATACATTTTATTGTGAAGAATTGCACTTACTTTTATGACCATGAAAACTTCCGAAATATTCCACCTATTTTAAAATTTAAATAAATAAACAGGAGACCACAAAGTCATGTATTCATAGACATTCTGCCCCAAAGAACCTATCAGGCATCTCTCGGCCCAAAGAACTGAAGAACTATAACCAATAAAGACTTACCTGATACTGTAGAGCACTTTGCCATTTTTGGAAATCCTCAGCAACTTGTTGTCAGTGGTGACATCATGGAAATTGGCTCCTTTCTCATTGGCAAAGAACAAATCTGGTTTCCAAATGGAATCCAACATAGATGGATCCAAATCCAGGGAATCATCTGGGTACTCACTGTATGCCAGCCGTGAATCATTCCACTGTTGTCTCAGAAAAATGTTCACTCGATAGTCCTATAGAAACGTCATATACAAGAGCTACTTACTGCCCAACACGGCTTAAGAAAGATATTTAAGGTTCCTCTCACCTTCTTTCTGATTTGATATAGTGTTTTTGTCTGGTTAAACAAGTCTCTTTACACGTTGGTCAAAATAAAGCACCCAGTTCTACTTGGACTTGAGGTGGAGGGAAAGGAGAAAGATGATTCAACCAGATCAGAACACCAATTAACCAGATTGCCTTTCTTTATTTTTATGCTTCAATTATTAATTCTGGGTTGAAATAATATTAATTCAAGATGATCTTTCTGTTGAGAAAGTCAATGATGAGTACAGAAGTCAGACTGTCATGACACATTACCAAATAAACCTGATTCGTTTTCTAAATTAGAAATGACATGATTTCTAATCTCCTTTTGATAGATGCTCTGTATGGAAGAAAACCCACTCTGGAATTTGGGAGTGAAAATCTCGTAAAACCATGTTACAGTAGACCAATATTCTTAAAATCTTAACAACATTAAGATGCTTCATGTTGACAAAAATTATTCCTTCACAACTAGTTACTTTCAAAATTGTCGCATATTTTATTGAATTCTTTCAGTGTGTTATGTCTGCAGTAGCCAGCATGATGCTTCATTCAAATAGAAAAATTTCATGTTTTTTTTTCCAATATGAAAACTCTCTAACAAATGTTTTCTGGGAGCCTCAGGTAGAGCCTCAACATTCTCATATGATCTGGATATTTCCTTGTGTGCTAATGAATCAGCTTGTGACTGTGGCTACTCTCCCGAGGGCTTGTGTTCAAAGACATATATGTTCATGGATGCATTGCTTAACTTCATGATCTAGACTCTGACTTAGGCATCATTAATAGTCCCTAGTCCTTCAGAACTGATTTCAGAGCTTCAGAGCTTCTTGTCACTTGTGACTATTGAAGGTGATAGACATCTCCATTTGTTCTCCCTCCCCCCCCCACCTTTCGTTTAAGCTCCATTGGCTTCATTTCCACATCCTTGGCATCTAGATGCACTTTGGATCATTATTTTCTTTCTTTCTTTCTTTCTTTCTTTCTTTCTTTCTTTCTTTCTTTCTTTCTTTCTTTCTTTCTTTCCCTTTTTTTTCTTTTTGGGAATGGGTGTTACTGAACCATTAGGGATTTGTGTGAATAGTGAGTAAGAAAGTCTGATTTGTGAACATTAAAGAAGGGACCATTAAAAATGCAGCAATGCAGAGCTCGTGTATGTGGTGGTGTATGTGAGATGCCCTTAAGATCTCCAAGTAAGGAAATGAGGCCTTTCCAGTTTATGGTGTCCATTTCCTTCGAGTTTCCTTCGAGTGAGACTCCATTCTTAACAGAATTCTTAGAGGGTAGGGAGAGTTTCTATGCTTGTTTGAATTGGACATAGTAAAGAAGAGACTTTCATCCTCTAGCCAAATCTAGAGATACTCTAAGCCCAGGAAGTGTGAGCAACTGGACATGACAAAAGTTAAATGGTTAAACAGCAGACTATTCAGATAACAGCAGCCTCTTCACAAGGAAGTATTTTGAGGGGTGCAAAAAGCCATAAGAAACCAGCTACAAATGAGTGGACAACAAAATTCACAAACACAATTCCCTTGTGTTCCTCCTGTGCTCCTGAGAATGAGTTAATCTTGCCTGTTGACCTACCCTAAAGAATATTAGTGAGACACAATATTAAAGTGATGGCCTTTAAGAAAAATATCTAGACATAGATTTTCATAGCAAATTCCCATGGGTGTTCTCCAGTGTTTCTTGGTTTTCTATCTTGAATTTTATAGCAAGAAAATTGGGAAATAAACTTGTGTTAAATGTCTAAAGAGCATTTAAAATATATTATTTTCACAATTTATAAACAATGATAAGTAGAAGAGAAATATATTTGGATCTATCAATTATATACTGGAGTTTTGATTTATAAGTAGCTGTTCCTTTGAATGTGTAGTCATTAACATTTATACATGATTTTGTTTGTGATTAGATACACTATTTAAAAATAAGTAATAACCCTTAAAATTATTTAAGAACAGAGACTCCCTCACCCAAGAATACAGAGAAAATAGATAGCCAAAGAAAACATTTTGCAGCCATGCCTGTGCAATTCTTTTAGTACACTGTAATAAACCTTTGGCACATGTAATTTATCAATGCATCATTTCTGTTTCGTTACAAATAAATTCATGATCTAATCATAACACAAATCATAAGAGAGTAGTTATATGATTCTGTAATCTTTCTTTGACTTTTCTGCTGCTTCCAGGCTCAATAAAATATTAAAGGGAAAGTAAATACTGAGAAACATGTTTAAATGCAGACTATATTCTCTTTTACATTGCCTGCATTCTCTAAGGACAGATTCTACTTCAAATAAATGACATATTTCTTTGTACTAAAATTTGTTTCTACATTATTGACTCTCTGAGCATTGGATAAGGTAATAAAACCATTTTTATTATATATGTGCACATATTTCATTTTAAAAACAAAATCCATGTATAAATTGAATAATCTTTAATAGTCTTAACACTGGTAATATGAGTACCTAAATTCCATAATAGTCTTTTATGTCAAATTTAGAATTTTTCAAGTTTCTTTTTTCTGATACCTTCTAAAGCTATGCCTACTCCATAGACATTGCTTCCTTAAGCTGAATTATTTTGCACTATTATATGTAACTCTGCATATGTACATAAATATGGTAATTTTATTTCATAAATACTCATACCAAACATTATTATGTCCTACTGTTTGGTATGTATACACTTTCCAATCTAATTATAAATATATTGGAGATATATTTATATATCCATAATGCTTATGCTGCACTTTGGTTTTTAAACCTGCCCAAAACTCCAAAACCATTTTTCAGAACCTCAAAACTGTGCTGGTTTTAATGGGAGAACTTGTATTCTAAATTATGGTGGTAGGCAGTTGCTTTATGATGAACGTGGGCTTTATTATCTCATTGGTAATTTAGGGAGCAAGTTCATCTTCTGTATCAACTTAACAGAGTATAAGGTTTATGGAATATATTGATTATTCCTTAATATGTCAGAAATAATTTTCATAATAATATGCTATCTCTTGTCAGATAGCATCTTCTTATGATGTGCTCATTCAACCATTGAATGAAAGGAAACGTCTATGCTCTTTCAGTAGTTATAGCACAACAGGGAACCATGTCAGTTTCTATTTACCTTCTTCTCTGAGTTCCTGGGAATGGAATTTCAGATCAGTGGCAAAGTAACTCCTTGTAGTGCAGCAGTTAATGACAAATACATTTATAGACATATAGCTATCCCTCACTTCTGTTCAATGTGACAAGGCTCAGAAACTACTGCTGAGGCTTGGGTATTATAGCAGCACCTACAAGTCCCAAATCATACTGGATCCACTATCATCTCTCTAGGCAGCCATTTGAAGCTGGGAAGAAAGATTCTTATATTCATTTTCTGATGTTCCTGTCTTTGGGAGAGTGGCATACAGCTGGTATAAAATACCCTTGGCTGTTGCTTATGTTGCCAATATTTTCTGCCTCAACATTAATAAAGGGAGTGTTGTAAATATATTCCTTATCCTGTAATTTCAATTTTAATCAACAACTGAATAAAAGGAAAAAAAGAAGGAAAAGGATAAACTGACATTTCAAAAGCAAAATATAACCTGTTTAAGTATATGTCCCTTCCTAATTCATTAAATCCTTAAAATTATTCAAAATTATATCTGTTGAATAATCATAGTACAAGGGTCAAATACCAACATGTTCATGTGCCTCTTAATGAATGAATATACATATTATTGAATTTAATAACTTATATCATCATGATGATCCATAAAACTTCCTTAAGTAAACAACAATATGTTGTCCCATGAACCACATATCTCCAACACTTGTATCAAAGAAGGGAGCATTTGTATTGAATCTGTAAGTCAATACTTTTTTAACAGGGAACATTTACAATAAATTAGTCTGATTTTGGTAAACATTCTCACTGTAAGAGAATGAGGTGTAAAGCAAGAGAGTACAATAAACATGACCAGAAACTCAGTTTAAAAGCATTCTTGGAAAAATAGTTCTAAAATTTGCAAAGGAAGCAAAACTATTATCTGTATAAAACAACACTAATTGATGGCCTCTATTAGTTTACTGGCATGCATATAAGTTAAATTTTCTGATTTCAACTGTAATTAGTTGATGTTCCATTTAGTGTCTGAGCAAATTTTATGAGCCAATTATATATTTTTGAGTCAATTTTATGAGTCAATTATATATAATTGAGGAATTATCAGATGGTAGAATCTAAGAGTTTTAGTAAAGGAAGGTTGAGCTGTGACAACATGTAAGTATGTACTAGGCTAAATATTTATCACCTCGGAAAACTCATTTTTAAAATTCTAACTCCCAGCATGATAGTATTGGGAGACAATACATTTAAGATGTTATTCTACTATGAGGCCAGAGAAAGAACTTTCTAGAATGAGAAGATATAAGAAGTCAGAAGTCTATAACCTTACTAGATCCCTCATCAATACCTGAATTCACTGGCACCTTACTCTCAGGCTTCCAGCCTCCAAGACTAGAAAAATAAGTTCTACTGTTTGTAAACCATCCCATGTGTGAAGCTTTGTAGCCTGACTCACTTAGGACAGGTTGCACCAGGTAGACACCAAGGCAAAGTTTCAGTCATTTTGTAAGCCAGAACTTTTTTTCAATAGAGTAATTGTCACACTAGTATGAACATTGAAATATCACTAATTTAAATACTAAATTGACCCACTCTATTTTTTTCAAGTAAAGTTTGATTGGAGTGTGTTCACATTCATTTGCCAATCCTTATCCTAGGTTATGAGATGAGAATTTCTTTTTGGTCATAAACATGATAAAATTTTTGTAAAAAGATTTTTTGTTTCACACCAAAGCCATGAGAAAACAACATATATGTATTTTCAAAACCAAAAGAAGTTTATCATTACATCTAAACCTAATAAGTTAAATAAAAGAAGCAACACTCTTCTAACATGCAATTTGGTCTATCTTACACAGCAGACAGACAAGCTACTGACATTACCTTTGAGCAACAGTTTCCTTTTACCATAGGAAACATGACAAAGGACACTTACTAAGTGGCCTGGAAGCACCTAAGCAGCCCATTTAGTAAACAGCTCTGTAAGTCTTAAAGACTAAGGAAAATTGGGTATGCATGACTTCCATTTTCATCTCCTTAAACATTTTGCTTCATGTATTAATGAACACTGAAAAGGTGCATATTTACATTTTTGATTGGGAGTAAAATGCAATGGGGAGATTTAATCAAGGCAACTCAGGAGTCTAATTAATGCAATCAGCATTAGGTCGTGCAAAGTGGTCATTGAATGCCATCATGTAAAGCTGGTGACAGTGGGCTACTGGAAGCGCCCTTCTTTTGAAGGTAAAAGTAATAGAAGAAGAGACAGAAACTGAGTGTCAAGACCAGAGTTGGATTACTTTTTTCATTCTTAGTGCTTCTTATGCATGGTTTATAGCCCTAACAAAACTATCTTATTTAATTCTTAATTGTACTATATATCCTGCTAAGATCTTATTGCTGCAAAATGCTATTTCAGAGCAATGTTAAAATGGGTACTAGATACACACTATATTTTAAGTTTTTCCAATAAAACTGACTAGTGAAGGTAAATTTTTCCTTCCTAGTATGAAAAACACCACAAAGTACCGAAAATTCATTAAACATGACCTTTAAAGCCTAAAAGAGAAAATCCACATTTCTCACTTCTGAATGGAATCATATGTTCATTTTTCACCTCTTGAGTTTTGTAGGTTTCAGCTACTATAATACTTGGTCAAATTAAACTATTATTTCATTTTGATCTCATCCAATATAATGGTTATATGATTTAAAAACCATGTAAACTAAAAGTAAGAAACTGACTAAATAAATTGTGTGAATAACAAGGAACTATCTTGCTCCATCTGTAATCTCCATACTATAACCTAGAGCTATGTGGGGTTTAGTTAATGATCTAATGGTATGAATCACTGGCATCAAGCCATTATAGCACTTTGTATAGTACCTGAATCTACTTCTCATATGTGAAAGGTGTTTTCATGACATATCTTTAATGAGTATTTTTAATGTCTTTATGTTTTACAAAGGTGTTCCTATTTTTTGTAATTGCTGTGATTTTAATATTACTTTCTTTTGCCAACAAAATTATGTATGCATATGTAAACATGGGGATGTATATGCATGCTCTTATGGATCATTCCTTTCTGTGATATCATAAATGTGCAACAGATGGGCTTGATGATGTCCCAACTTTCATGATAAGTAAAAGACTGGAAATGCCAAGTATGTGTCAAACTTTGAAATTCATATTCATGAAATACTGGAAATGCAGATATTTTAAGACTCCTAAATACACACTGTTTATTTCTATTCATTATGCCAAAATTAAAATTATGTGTTTACAACATTGCTCTGGGATAACAGGTAAAAGATCATTGGGTTTTAAGTTGTAACTTCTTGACAAATGACTTTCTGAAATGAAGGTGTATAAATGTCTGTTTTTAGAGGATGGTGACATTAGAAATTGGCACTCAGTAAATGTCACATAAATATGCAACAGTGCTGTGATCCCATATCCCACTTCTTCACAGGACGGCTTCAATGCTCAGTCCCACTCACCATTGTAGTTTCTGCTACTGACCCAAAGCTGTTGATAAATATGTTGCAGGTAACATTTACAGGAGGCCCTGTAAGTTGAACAATAGAAAATTTGACAGGTTGTGTTCATAGGATAATTGAGTCACGTTTTTCTCTTGCCAGTGGCACTGTAGCACTTACCATTGTTGTTTCTGTGACTGATCCAAAACTGTTGATAAAAATATTGCAAGTAACGTTTACTGGAGGACCTGCAGAATGCAATAAAAATATTGCAATAGACATTGAAGCAACATTACAGCTCCATCAACATCTCTGGTTAGAGATGTAAATAAAATGAAAATGATGATGAGACTGCAAAGAAAAAAATTATCCAGAAGTACATGATAACTTCCCACTAGTATTTTGAATAATGACAATTAAGCAATGGTAACTTACCTCCAATGAGTTTTGAATTTGGAAAATACAAGGTAAAATCATTTCACTGAATTAATCAGCCTAAGTTTATGCTACAATAGCTATTTGGTTGATTGCTTTTCTTTAATCTTTTAAATCATCAATATTTTAGACATTATCTATGGTAATAAAATAGCCTGAATCATGGGATCAACATAGGGCTGAATTTAGGAGTCCAGGTGGATCTGAATTATTTCTTTTTACTTATAATGCCTCTGAATTTACCCCCTTTCTTCTACATACACTCTGACTCAGTGAAAAAAAAAACAACAGTGTACAAAAATACAAAACAAACTAAAGGAACTTGCATTAAGAAACAAGTACGAGCAGAAATGTCCCTGGATATCCCTACTGTTGCCAGAGTAGATTCAGTATTAAACAAGGAGTGCCATGCTGTTTACTCTTCTCTCCAGAGATGCAGGACTAGACTGCCACTAGCCTTCTTCTTGCCTTTGTCACCAGGTAAGTCACTGTCGGATGATCCGCTGTCTTGTGTTTTCCTGGGAATATGTTTATTGCCTCTCTAGGCATTTACTCCAATAATTTAGGAGATGGGAAATTCCTGCTGCAGACCATCAATCCGCTAACTGTTTTCCTCTGCAGGCAAATATTCCTCTTGACAAATTCTCATCATTTGAGTACAAGCAACACCCTAGTTGGCTCGGTACCTAACCAGCCACTATGCTCTGAATGAAGACGAGTTTGGCATGAGGCCTTCCTCACAAGCTGGTAAGGAAAAAATTAGTCTTTCTCTTTCTTGGCTGCACAATTCTATCCTAAATCTATTTTCTGCTAGTAAGAAATAAATTAGACAAGAAGGGACATGTCATGAGAATTTGTGTGTGTTTGTTTTTTTCCCCTTTTGTCACAAAGAAATGCTTCCTTTTAGATCAACTTACCGGTTACAGTTTATGAATTTTTATAAAGCAAAGTAGAAAACAAATGATGAAAGAACAGGAATGTTAAAAAAGTGTAAAGCCATTCCAAAATGCTCATCAAACTCACTTTACACTAGTATAACATTTTAACGATGGACTTGAAATTTTAAACCTTAGTTGTTAAAGTATTAATATTATCTACATGTCTGGTCTACCCAATTGGCTTGGAAACATTCAGAAGATTGAGCCATACTATCATTTGCTTTCTTTTTCTTGCTACCTGACAGTGTGTGTGTGTTTCTGAAACCTAAAATACTCTTTAAGCTATCATATCCTAAGCACATGAATATCATCAAGTTGAGAGGGCTGGAGAGATAGGTTAATAGGTAAAGTGCTTTGCTGTGTGTCCAAGAACTCAAATCCAATCTCCAGAAATCACATTTAAAAAGATCTGGGTGTATTGGCACATACTTGTAGCCCCAGCACAAATGAAATGGAGATAAGCAAAACCTTGGAAGCCAACTAATTCTGACCTACTTTGTGAGTTGCATGCTAGTGAGAGACCTTGACTCAACACAAGTAGACTTGAAGAATAACACCCGAGGTTGTCCTCTGTCCTCAAGATGCAAAGAAATGCATGCATGAATACCTACATTCAGGAACATGTACACACACATTGTTTACTAAATTATCTATACTACTGCTGCTTATGCTGGTTCCTTTATTGATATGACAAGCAGATTCCTCAGGCTTCCAAGGTGGACTGAAGACCAGTGGCGCTCCAGAAATCCTCCAGGTTGTCAGTGACAGAGCACCTGTTGAAGCACTCACTCAGCCTCATGAACTGAAAACCATTATATTTTCAGACTCTATGGTGTGAGACAGGCAATGTTGGATTACTCCAACTGTATAGCCAATGTAGTAATTCTCTCTTACTATTTATTCATTGTATCATTTCTTTTCCTCTACAGGCACTGACATAAATTGATTTTCTCAAGGACATAACATATTTAAATAGCAGAAACTGCCAGACTTTAAGGATTCTTTCTTAACTACAAGGGCAAAATTCCTGAAGTCAATGGACAGTTGTCTTAATTGGCTTCTTTCCTAATGATAGGGGGTACCTAAATACTAGCATTTAATCCACAATTTCTTCAGGTTGAAGGATTTTTTTTGAAATTTGCTTTTAAGAGTTATCCTACTATGTATCTACACATTTTGTATTTTAGTCCAATAATCTCATTATGCATTTTGATTGTCAAGAACATGCACCTAGATGTAATCACCAATTAAATTATTGTGATCTGTAACATGTTAAAAGAAAACATTAACCTCTCTGATTTATTAGCAAGAGGATGACATTTCACAGTGAGTTGAGTGAGAATAAGATAGAAGCCACAATATAACTGTCCTGCCTTTCTGATTACTCTCTTCCCCAAACTATCCCCTTTCTTGTTCCCATTTTCTTGTCTTATAATTTTGATTTGGTGGCAGAGGCATCTCTCCATTCCTCATTTTCTCTTCTTAAATCCCTCCTTCTTTTCCTCTCACTTACATTCCTCCTTTGCTCTTTTTTCTTCTTCCTAAGAGACTGAGCATTCTGGCCCCAACTCACTTGAAAGGCATTGCCTTGATTCTGTCGATCACACCGGGCAGTATTATATTAATGTTGCTGAAATATTAATTTGCCTACTGATGTACATGAGATGCCATTACATTTAGTTATTCATTCCTTAATTTATATCAGTAGTATTTTGTATTTGCCAGTATACAAACTTCCATACTCTTGATTTAACACATAAATAACAATTTTATTTTCTTAAATTTTATTGAAAATGGATTTTTGTGGGTAGGGTGTAAGTAAGTATGTATGTGGAGTTGCAAGCATAGAAGTGTGTAGGAGAGACAACAATCTTGTGTGTCATTCCTTACACACTTTTCTCTTATTGGATTTGGGTTCTCTCCTTGGCCTGGAAATTTACCAGGTAAGGCTAGACTAGCCAGAAAGCTACCAGGAGTTCACCTATTTCTGCCTCCCACCTCAGTATTGCTGGAATTATAAGTTCATGTTCGCCTGGAATTGCAAGTATATGCATGCCACTATGCATGACTTTATACCAGTACTGGGAGCTGGAATGAAAGTTATCATACTAACAAGAAAAGTATGTTACCAATTGAGTGAGTAACACCCTCCCCTGCTTATGTCTTACTTTCCCTTTAAAATATTTCCATAGAATTCTATAGAATAAAGAACCTATTTTTTTGATGATCTTCATGTTGCAATTTTGCTGAATGCATTAGTTCTAGTAACTTTCAATCAGATGCTTAGAAGGTTTTCTGTACATCCAACATTATTCTTTGTGAATGGAAATAATTTTACTTCTTCATTTTGAACTTGGATACCATATTTTTATTTTTCTTATATAGTTGCTATTGATAAAACCTCCAACACCATGTTGACTAGCAGTTATGAAATAGCAAATTGTCTTTTGTCTTTTGCCTGATCATGGCAGAAAATCTTTCATTTTTTTTCCTCAGGGAAAGATCACATTTAGATTGTGTTGCTAATTGTGGATTTTCATAAATGCTCTTCACCAAGTTGAAGAAGTCCCCTTCTGTTCCTAACTTCTTTGTTGATTTTTAATCCATAAATGATTTTGAATTCTACTAAAGCCTTTTCTGCATCAACAAAATAATTCTGAGGTTTTTCTTCATTCTATTAATATATTTTTATTTGAGTTTTAATGTTTGGTCATCTGTGTTCTATTTTTTGGAAGAATTTAAAAAGAATTGGTGTCAATTCTTTAATATTTGATACATCTCAAAAGACAAACCATCTGGTCCTGAAGTTTCCTTTGTTGGGAGAGTTTTGATTAATGTTTCAATCTTTTTATTTGTTGTATGTCTGTTGGGACATTGTAGTCAATCTGGAATCAGTTAGGTAATTAGTGTGTTCTGGGTATTTTTAAATTTCACCTAGCTTGTAGTTCAGAAACAAGCTAGGTGAAATTTAAAAATACCCAGAACACACTAATTACATGCCCTCCCCTGATTATGAGATTGATGACTGACTTCTATGCCATCCTATAGCGTTCACCAGCAGCTGGTGGAAGTAGAAGCAAATACCCATAACTAATCACCGAACTGAACTGGAACCCAGATGCAGAGAAGGACCAGTGAAGAGCACAGAGGTCCAGACCAGGCTGGTGAAACCCACAGAAACAGCTGAACTGAACATCCAGGAACACTTACTCCGCAGTCTGATAGCTGGAATACCAGCATGGGACTTATTCAGACCCCAGGAGCATGGGTTTCTGTGAGGAAACCTCAGAAATCTATGGTACCTCCCGTAGAAGCCCAGTATTTATCCCTAGCATAGGTGTGGACTTTGGTAGCCCATTCCATATAGAGGAATACTCCCTGAGCCAAGACACATGGGGGGTGGGCCTAGGCCCTATCCCAAAGGATACGAAAGACTCTGATGACAGCCTATGGAAGGCCTCACCATCCAGGGGGAGAAGAAAACATATGTGGCAGATAAGGTTTTAGTTGGGGGGGGGTAGGGGTAGACGGGTGGGAGAAGGGAACTGGGATTGTCATGTAAAACAATCCTGTTTCTAATTCAAATTTTAAAAGTTGGAAAAAAATAAAATACCTTTTCTTTCTGTAAGGTAACAATAACTCTGTTTAATTCTTATTTTCATTATTTGAATCATCTCCATTTTTTCCTTTGTCTGCCTAGCTAAATGCTTGGTAGT